GGGGGGGGGGGGGGGGGGAGTGCTGGGGGCAGCTCTGCAGCTTCGCGAGCCTTGTTCTGAGGACTGAAGGGGACACTGGCTATGCTGGGGTCAGCAGGGTGGCTTTGTGCCAGAGAAGCCAGGGAAGAAGACATCTGTCAGTAGACACTGCTTTTCCCCAGGGCCTGCCCTGTCATACCCCCTCCCAGCTTCCTCTGGCCCCTGATGTCCTCTCAGGAGTCCTGTCCCTTCTGTTCAGCCAGCCTTACCATGCTGGAGGTGGAGGACCTCTCCACCTCTGACTTTGTGACCCCACTTCCCTGGCTATCGTGGTGGCCCGGGACCCTCAGCACCTTACGGGGTGCCAGTCATCCAGGCCATGGGGGCTGAGCACGCTGAGGGTGTAGGAGGCCCCCAGCAGTGTCCTCCCAAGCCAGGGTGGCTGGCTTGTGTCCCTCTGACGGCATTCCGCCCCCCACCCAAAGCCTTTAGGGAACATCTGGGAAGCTGTCCTTACATGGAACTGGATGGACCCCCAACTCGCTGGCTGATGGGGAAAAAGCCCAGAAGGGGGTTCCAGAGAAGCATAAGAAGCAGGGGCATGACTGCCACCCCCTGAAGGCTGGCTCTCCCCTGAGTCCGAGACAAAGGAGAAAGAGCAGACGTAGAAGGAGGACCAGCCGCCTTACCTTTCTTATCCTTCCTCTCCTCCTCCTCCCCGCCAGCTCCCAGCAAGGTAAAGATGATGCCTGTCTGGGAGTTCACGCCCACGGCCGTCACCACCATTCTTCCAGAACCTTCCATGACATGGGTACCTGGCACAGCAACGCAGAGAGACTGAGACAGAGATTTGCACCGCCTGGTGGGAGACATGTCAGCACCCACGGGTTCTCTCCCAGGGCGTCCCAGAAGCAGGGACTCAGCATCCAGAAGCCGCTGGAGACTGTACTGACCTGCAGCCCGGCTCTGAGAGGCCCAGAGGCCCACAGAGGAGCGGGTACTTGCCCAGAGGCACGGGCCGAGCCGTTCACAGGGCCCACCTGGAGCCTGCAGCCTTCCTGTCCCATTCCACACTGCACTTCCCACCGGGATAAAGACTGGGCTGAGTCAGAACCTTCTGGACAAGGAGTACTGCTCCACCGGGTCTACTCCAGGCTCTGGATTTGGGAGGAGCATGGCACTATGCCGACCACCCAGTCAGGTCGCTCCTCTCGGGGCTTCCTGTTGAGGACACCCAGGGCCCTCGTGGGCTGGGAGGGCCCGTTTTCTTGCCCTGTGGCTGAAGCTGCCACTAGCAGGCCTCCAAGGGCCCTGTCTGGCCTTGCCAGACTCCCCAACGGGATGGGCTATTCAGTGAAGCCCCGGCTGAAGCCGAGCCTGGCAGGCTGGCCGGGACGGGGCTGCCGGGCCCAAGGGCTTCTGAGGTGACTGTGCTGTGCTGGCCGGGAAGGTGCCATCACCTGAGAGCAGCATGGGGTCTTTGTCAGCCGACTTGCGCACGTGATCCGACTCTCCGGTCAGGGAGCTCTCGTCAATCTTGAGGTCGTTGCCCTGGATGAGCACGCCGTCGGCGGGCAGCAGGTCTCCTAAAGAGCGGCCCGGGGCCAGGACCAGAGGCGATGGGCGCGCGGCCTCTCCCACCGCCACCTCCTGGCTACCCCAGCGGAGATCCCGTCACGCGTGATGGGCCCCCTGGGAAAGGGCCTTGCAAGCCCTCCTGCTTTGGCCTCCTGCTTTCTGGGGATAACCACACACACCTAACTGTGTGGTCCAGCTGCCAGGCAATGGGGACAACGTTTGCATCCTGTGTAGTGGGGAAGCCGTTGACAGAGGCCGTGGGGACAGCCTACTTCCTGGGGTGCCGTCACATTGGAAACTCCCCCACTTTGCCCTGCCTCACGCTCCCCGCCTCCAGCCTCCTGCAGGTGAAGGCACAAAGCTTGTGGGGACAGGGCCTGCCCTGGGGTGTCCCTTCTGGCCCACGTGGCAGCCTGGGTCAAGGTTGGCGCACTCACCATACTTGACCTGGGCGATGTCTCCCACCACCAGCGCGGCCACAGGGACCTGGAGGAGCTGCCCGTTCCGGATGACCGTAAACTTCTGCTCCTGCTCGATTCGGCTCTGCAGGCCGCGGAACTGCTTCTCCTTGCTCCAGTCGTTGAAGGCCGTGACCAGCACCACGCAGATGACAGACAGCAGGATGGCGGCCCCTTCGATCCAGCCAGCCTCGGCCTCCCCCTCGTCTTCTGCCCCACCTGACACATTCCCACAGGCTGTGCCCGAGGACAGAAGGAAGGAACACAGTGGAGAAGTCACGTGACCAACTCACCACTCACCCAGAACCCTGCCGCCAGGACCAGGACATCCTGTGACCCTCTTGTGTCTTGAGGCCCATTCCTCCCCGTCCTGCCAGCTCAGGCCCCTGCCCTTCACCTTCACTCTGTTCTCCAGGCGGTGCATAGAACGAGAGGCCCAGGGAGACGATGGCAGCCACCTCCAGAATGATGAGGGTCACGTCCTGCAGGGCCTCCCACACCAGCTGCAGGAAGGTCTTGGGTTGCTTGGGAGGGATGAAATTCTGCCCATAGATCTGCCTGCGCTTCTCCAAGTCATTGGTGTTGTCTGCCAGACCTGCACAGCACCCAAGGAAGGGTAGCAAAGGCACAGAAGGAGAGGATGGGACAGGCCACCCTGTGCAGCCCTGCGCCACCTGCTCCTGCTGCGGGAGCACCTCAGGGCTCTCTGGCCGCTGCCTGCCTCTCCCTCTAGGCCGGAAGCTCTGAGAAGGCCCATGAACAGCCAGGGCTAAGGGACATGGGGTTCTGTGGGGGCAGGGAGAAGCCACTGTGGCCACGGCTGCTGAGGAGGACAGAGGAGTGGCTGCTAGAGACAGGCAGTGGAGGTCTGCTTTCCAGAAGTTTCTCAGGGAAGGAGCAGGGGAGAGGGAGCATGAGAGCTAGTGGGGAATGCAAAAAAGAGACCCAAAAAAGGGGACCAACAGTGTCCTGTGAGGAGAGAGAGGCACAGGAGGACATGTGGGGGCGGGGAGGTGGGACTGAGGGAGCTCTTCAGGCCTCTTTGGGGCCTTTGCTCTGCCTCACTGTGATGTGCGACATGCCATTGTCAGTGACCCCCAGCCTGTGAGGGGGACGCCGCTCATCAGCTGCTCTGTCCGCCCTGGGAGGGAGGTGCTCATCTGAGCCTGCCAGGTTCTGGACAGACGAGGCAACCGAGGCTGGAATGGAAAGGGCCCTGTGCCCTGAGCCAGAGCTCTTGCCTTCAGCCCGGGCCAGGACAACACAGCCTCCCAGATGCTGGGCCACCAGGACATAGAGCCCTTACCACTCAACAGGAAGCAGTGAGAGGCTCGGCTCCAGTGTGGCTCACGCTGCCAAGCAAGGGTCTGGCACCCATGGCGCCCAGGAGGCGTGCAGGGAACGCTCCTGGCTGCGAGCACTTCTGGCGTGCCCTCCAGAGACAGTTGCCTCAGTCAAATGCCGTCCCCAGACCCCGGCTCCAGTGCCCACCTCCAGCCCTGAGCTGGAAGTCATGGCAAAGGGCAGGGACGGGACGTGGGCCCCACTGCCTCCTCCAGGCTCCCAGGGCTGTATAGGTGTCAGGTGCTCAACATCTGCGTGACGACTTGCATTACACATAGAGCCACCCTGCCGAGCTCTGTGATCAGCTTCCTCAGGAGCCCCACAGTCTGCCTGGGCCTCCCAATCAGAGCCACCCGGCCCTGTTCAATTCTGTCACCCATCGTCCCTGAGGCTAATAAGATTGGCCCCAAGTGCCCAGCCCCACACTGACACCTAGTGGACCGATGGCAGCTTGCAGCTCCCGGCCCTGAGGAGCTGGTGTTAAGTCCTTCCACGTGCTGAGGGCGGGACAGGGGAGCCACCAGAAGGGCCCAGTCCCGGCCAATGGGGCGCTCACAACAGGCTTGGGAAGGCACACAAGAACCCCCCAGACAACCGGAGAATAAGGAAGTGCTAGCTGGGGCTTCTGGGGAGGAGGGGCCTGCCCGAGAGAGGACTGACAAGAGCAGAAGTCCACAGCCATACAGGCCTGGCACGGCCACTCGAGATAGGTGAGAGCCACATGGTGTCCCCTCCACCCCCCAAAAGAGCTGCAGCTGTCCCTGCCTTTCTCCCCCTGGCCTCGGCACGCCTGGGCCTGGCCAGCGGCTTAGGTTTCTGCTGTGGCCAAAGGCTCTTTCTGCAGTGGGAAACTTGGGACCTCCACTGCTGACGGGGCAGGGGGCTGGGGACCAGGGACCCAGCCGAAGAGCACTCTGGCCTGGGCCCCTCCATCTGCTTGAATTCTAGGAGCTATAAGAGGTGGATAACAACTAGGGTGGGGGGCACCAAAATTCTGAGCCTCCCAGATGCCCAGGGTCTCCACTGCCTGGTCCCAGACTGGCTTCTGAGCACCTGGGTCCCTGTGGTCCCAGTGGAGGGAGCCAGCCATGCTCGGGTCTGGGGCCCAAAGAATGAGCGGTATGAGGACTGGCCTCTCCTCTGTCTGACCCCGACAGCCCTCGAGGTCCTCAGGCTGGAGCTGTCTGGGTGCCAGGAGTGGTGACTTTTGCTCCCTGTACTCCTCAGCCAGGCCATGTGCCTTGGGCTAGTGTGAGGTCCTCCGCAGGCCTCAGTGGCCTGCCACAGCATCTAGAGAACCCACGAGTCTCCATGACACCATGCAGGTCTGCTTCCTGCCTGCTTGGCCCCACATGCCCAGCTTGTCCCCAGGAGAAGCTGGGCCCTTGGGCCCCTTCCCCAGGAGCTCCCTTCCTGCCCGCCCTGCCTTTCCCTTGGCCTTGACCCACCCTTGCTGCTGCAGCAGCACTTCTTCCTCTTTGCCCCGGACCAGACAGCTGCCCTAGGCCCCGCCCTACACCTTGGCCTTACTGTGGGCTTGGGGGTCCCGACAGTGGCAGCCGCCACAGCACTGTTGTGAAGTGGGGACAGAAGGCAGCTGCAGGGTCCCTCTGGTTGTGAGCATGTGTGCGCCCAGCAGGCCTGAGGGTGGCCCGGGTCCAGGGCGTGGGGGCAGGGGCCAGCCTGTTGGCATGGACACAGATGGGCGGCCTGCCCAGAGCAGAGGCCAGATGCCATCAGAATTGGATTAGGAACGCATCGCGTTGGCTCCCAGCTAATCTGCCCCCTCCTTTCCGTGACTGCCTATGGAGACCAGACAGGGGATGGGTGGGACCCAGGTTCTGCGAGCGCAGCCTAAGACCCCGGGTTCCCTGACCAGCAGCAGTGGCTTTCTTCAGGATGGGTCCTGGAATCCTCTGGGATTTCTACAGAGGCTGTGTGGGTGGCAGATGGATGTGCTCATGGCCAGAAGACAAAGATCCCCCTGCCCCAAAAAACCACATGCCCACCTGGCCTCCCCCACCCCCATAAAGCAGCTGCCCGCCTCCTGGGCACCCCCAAGTCTGGCTGGGGTGCGGTTGAGCCGCCCCTCCTGCAATTCAGGCCGTGGCAACTGACGGGGGTGGCGGGGTGGGTCTGGTGAGAACTCGGGGTCAAGTCAGCAGCCCGTGGAGGACCCCACGCCGGTGCAAGGCACACGGCCTGGCTGAGGAGCATGAGGAGCAAAAGTCACCACTCCTGGCACCCAGAGAGCTCCAGCCTGAGGACCTTGAGGGCTGCCGGGGTCAGACAGAGGAGAGGCCAGTCCTTGCGCCGCTCATTCTTTGGGCCACAGACCCGGGCCTGGCTGGCTCCCTCCACTGGGACCAAGGGGACACAGGTGCTCAGAAGCTAGTCAGGGGCCGGGCCACCCACCTGGGCACCTGCCCTTCTCCATGCTCTCCCCCTCCACAGGCACTGGGCAAGCTCCCGAGTGCTGTGGCAGAATCAGGCAGGTTCCCAGGGGCCTTGACATTTTAAATATTTAACAAGGCCTGACAGGGAGAGAGAAGAGCTGCCAGCTGGGGCCCATCTGCTTCCTTTGATCTGGGAGAGGCCAGAGCCCTTGTGGCTAAGTGGCCCTCCAGCCCAGCCTCCTCTGAGGCCCGAGTCCTCAGGGGCTGGCTGAGGAGGAGGGAAGGAAGAGATCCTCTGGCCCGGTGACAGCGCGCTGCACCAGGCTGGCGTGCGGCAGGCGAGGCGGGGGGTCTGTGGGCGCAGCAGCCGCAGAGCACAAAGCAAGGCGGACGCGGGGTCGTTCCTCCTGGGAGCTGCGGCCCAGGCCCCCAGACCCACCTCCTCCCCTGTCCATGCCTCCCCTGGCCCTCGCACCACCGGCAGACATTCGGGGCTTTGGGAAACTGGGTCGGGCTGAGGCCAGAACAACGGGATCCTACTTGTGCCTTAAAGTCTCCACGTGGGGGGCCAGGGCACAGCGAGGAGGTGGGGGGCGGGGGCTGTGCTGGGTGGGAGCAGTGGGAATGGGTAGGAGGGAATGTGTCCAAGGGACCGATTTAGAAATCTCAATGGGCAGGGCTTGGTGATGGATTGGACAGGGGTGCCGGGGGCAGGAGACCAGGACGACAGCCAGGGCTCGCAGCACTGGGTGGGCCAAGGTGCCGCTGCTGAGCCAGGCGGCTGATTAAAATCAATCAGCACTGTCCGGGAAACGGGCCTGGTATGGGGCTGGGATAGCCCTGTAGCCCTGCCAGGCGTGTGACAGTTGGGCCAGAAAATGCTCCAGCTCCTAGAACCTGGGGCTAGGCCTGGCTCCCAGGTGGTCCCTACCTCATGGCAGACCCTAGCAGCCAGGGCAGGGCAGGGCAGAGCTTTGCCTCCCAATGGGGGAGGCGGGGACCCAAGACAGCAGTCAGGCCTCCAGCCCAGATCCTTCTAGAAGGCGCTCACCAGGCTTCCTGGAGGCTTGCTGCAGTGGTGACACCTACACTGCCTTGGGACAGCCTGTGGCCAGTGCCCCCTCACCCCCAGCTCATGTCCTAGCTTTGGCCACCCCTTCCCACCAGACCCAAATGGCCCTGTGCCACCCCCTCCCTTCCCAGGGACAGGCCCCCTGCAACCCGAACCCCAGAGGGCTTGCACCCTGCACCCCTTCCTCCTCTCCTTGTCCCCTTAACTGAGCACAGGGCTGAGCACACAGGGAACCCACAAATACGCAGACAGGGCCGTGTCTTCCTCCTTCGTCAGGAGTCCGCCCCACTCTCCCTGCCCTGTTCCTTGTAAGGGACTCTGGGGCTTCAGTTTGGGGTCCCCTCCACCTGTGCGTGCACGCCTCACAAAGGTCCCTTCTCTTCCCTTCCTCCTCTCTTTCTCTCCACGGAGTGGAGAACAGCTGATGATGGAAGTGTGGGTGTCAGGCCACACCCCTTGAAGGACTCAGGTCACCCAGAGGACAATACCCCCTCACCCCACACAGAGCGCCTCCCACACAAGGGGGAATGGCCGAGAGGAGGGGCACAGTCAGGGCCACCACGGCCTCCTCTCCACAGAGCCCGTCTGGGAGGCTGCTGCAGTAGTGCCACCGAGCCCCTGGCCCGAGGGACTTACCCTCTGTCGGGGAGGTCTTCAGCCTCCTGCAGAGCCCACTGATGTCCCCGTAGGCTTCCTGGATCTTCTGCAGCGCCTCGGCCCCGCGGAGCTCCATGAGGCTGCGCAGCTCAGCCAGCGTGCACCCAAAGCCACCTGCGTGGGGGGCCTCCCGCTGCTGCTGGGGCTTGAGGTGGAACTCGATGGAACTGTTGGCCATGTCACCCATCCTGCCTGTCGGGCCTTCTCACAGGGGCAGCCTTGGCTCAGCCACAGCTAGGGACGGGCAGCCACCTGCGGTCCCAGTGCCCGGGAGAGGTGTAGTGGCGGTGGGAAAATGGCTAAGCGTGGGCACCTGGGGAGAAGGAGGCAAGAAGAAGCCAGGGGTGTGGTTGGGACAAAACTGAGGCCTGGTCTTCCAGAACATTCTCTGCAAATCTTCGCTCAGTCTGGAGTGCAAACTTCACCTCCTAGGCTGGGCCAGTGGCCCTCATGCCCTGCCAGGCCCCACCTGCCAGGCCTCCCATCCGCTAGTCCTGTGCACTGTGAGCAGCCGGAGCTGGGAGGGCTCGCCGGGGTGGGGAGGAGGAAGTGTCAGGGCTTCCTGTCAGGATCCCTGCTGCCACCAGCCCTGGACAGCTGGGGTAAGGATCCCACTGCCCCCCAAATCCATCTTGGAACCCACGCGGAGGAGAGGGCAATGTGTTGGGACTGATCAGAGGCTGGTCTCACCCAGTGCGGGTGGCTCATGGCAGCACAGTTCGTCCACGCCCGTGCCCCACCACCGAGCTCTCGGCTCGTCACTCCCTGCTCTTGCCTGGTTAAGTCTCGCCCTGTGCCGCTGGCGCTGGCATGCTATAAATCCCTGGTGGTCTTCTAGCGCGGCCTCGGCGGTGCACGGTCTCAGGCCCGGGGCTGCGCAGGGCTCCAGGTCAAGGCTTAGAGAACAGGGTGTTTCTGCAGCCCTGAGGGTACCTGGGGGGGCAGAAGGGGGAGGAGGATGGATAGGATAGGATGGGGGGAAGGGAGGGAGAGAGGAAGAGGAAGGGAGAGAGGGGAGGAGGGGCGAGGGAAGCAGGGAAGGAGGGGGGACAAAGGGAGCGAAAGGGGAGGGGACAAGGAGAGGGCACATAGGAGAAAGCCAAAAGCAGCCACAGGTCACTGGCAACTCTGCCAATGCCCCAGCCCATTGCACGGTGCCACCCGCTCCCTCCACACCCTTCTTCCCTCCTGATGACAAGTAAGGAGCTGAGGTCTCCCCACACCGAAAGCATCCAGCCCTCTGCAGAGCATCACAAAGCTGGCATCCCTCTCACTGCCCCCACCATGCCCATGCCCTCCGCTCACCCGAGGAACTGCTGGTGCCCAGGCTGCACCTCCTGCAGCCTTTGCAGGGGCTGGCGGGGGGACCACTGGGGCCTGCTGGCCTGCCCCCTCCTCGGCCCTGACCGTGGCCCTCCCCAGCTTCTCTGTCCCCGCATCTCCTTCCTGGTCTGTGCATAAGTGGGAGCACCCCCAAGGCCATGTGCTAAGCTCCCCCTGTGCTCCTGGAACTGAACTAGTCTCAGTGCACATGGCCTTGGCCTTCACGTCTGCAACATGGCTCAGTTGGGCCCGACCCCTCGCCTTTGGAGAAGCTCCTGGCTCGGAAGGATCCTCTTGGAAGAACTTAGCCACCGATCCTGGTTTCTTAGCTAGAATCACCCACGGAGACACAATAACCCTGAGCCCTGAAGAAAGGCAAAAAAGGCCCTTGGGCAGCCAAAATGGATGTGGCCAAGTGCATGGCCTTGTACTCTCCGGAGAGCCCCCGCCTCTCTCCGAGCCCAGCAGGCTGGATCCTAAGAGCTCCTAGCTGATGCTGGGATCACGGAGTACCACATGACACCAGAGTTTCTGGGGAAAAACGGGCCATTCCCGACACATGCCCCCGGCCCAGAGAGGGACTCTGGACAGCAGAGGCCTCAAGTGTACGTACCCATGAGGTCTGGGGGGCAGAGAAGGTGCTTCCGAAAATGTGCATCCAGAGTGGTCCACGTTTTAAAAGTTTGGGCACCTAAGTGTCAACTCTCCAGACACTTTCCACATGGGGCAGCCTTCACTTCCAGAAGCCGTGGGGACAAGATGATGGCCACGTGGACGCGACGTCCTCACCCAGCCCATGCACGTCTCTCTGCCACTCTGTCAGTCAGTCATCTGACAAATACTGACTGAGCACCTGCTAGTGCCTGGCACTGGCCTTATGTGCTGGGGACAGGGGCTCAACAAGACAATGAATTCCCTCTCTCTGTGTCTAGGTGGGAGACAGGTAATAGCAGAGTGACAGAGAAAACGCCAGGCTCAAGGGCCAAGTGCTGTCAGCAAGGCCAGGGGGCAAAGAGGGCCTCTGGGAAGGGGAACGTGGAGAAAAGACTGGAAGGAGGCAAAGGAGTGGGAGCAGGGCAGAGGGGTCAGTGAGCGACATGGGCCAACACAGACCAGAGGCACCTGGAGGGTTGCAAGCCAGAAGGTGGGACGGGGTGGACTCCTTCTGGGCTATTGTGTGAATGCGTCCCTGCCACCCAGGTGGTGGCACATGAATCACTCTTCCTTTCACCAGTGCAGGAAACTGAGGCTTGGCCAGGGCAAGTGGCAGAGCCAGAGGACAGCTGGGTCTCCTGCCTCTGACCACCTGAGGCACTGATGGCAGCTTTTGGCTGCCACCTGCACCCTTCGCCCCCTCCAGACAGCCTTGCCTCCCCCAGCCCGGGACCTTTGCTCAGGCCGTGCCCCTGCTGGGCATGACTTCTCTCTTCCTTCCTCTGATCCTGAGCTCCAGCTGCCCCTTGCCTCTCTGTCCCCAGTCCATAGGAACTTGGTGCTACTATCAGGGTCAGACTCTGTCTCCCCAGCTACCCCTAGCCTGCTGGCTGCTGGAGAAGAGGGACAGGGCTGGTTTGTCTGTGTAGGCACTGGCTTCAGCCAGCCTCTGACAGGCACAAGACCCCTGGGAGTGGGCTTCCCAGACCCCAGGCCGGCAGGACTGCTAGAAGAGGCCTAACCACGGGCTGCATGTGTGGGGGGCACCATCCAGGGAAGAGCTGAGCAGGGTCCCGCCAGCGCTGGACAACGGGTGGCTGGCACCTGCCCCAGGCTCTCATGCCATCTGCAGGCAGACCTGTGGCCTGCATTCTGTCACCCTCAGCATGTGGCCCCAGGGCCCTGTGAGCCAGCAGCCTAGGGACTCCACAGGAGCTCTTTCTAAAAGGGGAGCCGGATGAACACTTTTGCCCCTTTGGAGGCCATTTATCTTTTCAGCCTCCCCGACTTGGGGAAGAGGAGGGTGTAGGGCACCCAGCCCCACCTGCTCTGTGCTGCTGGGCTCCAGGCCATGGCAGAGTGAATGGCCTGTTGGGTGGGCTCTTGGGCGACACATGGGTCCGACAGAAATGCCTGTTCCTCACAGTGGGGACATCCTGTACCCATTCTCTGACAGCATGGTCACCAAGGCCTGGTGGCCCCTGGCTGAGGCTGTGGCCCTCCCGTGGCGGCTGCTCGCCCTCCCTTCTCTGACCAGGGCTCACCCAAGGCCAGCTCCATCCTTCCCCTCCCCCTCCCTGCCCCTGCCCCCCAGTGTGGCTCTGCCCTTGGTTAAGCAACAGTGGTGGCCCAGACAGAGCCACGCCAAGTCCTTGAGCCACTTCGGACTGGTGTACTGTCATTGCTGTGGCTGACTGGGCCAGCAGTGACTCACGGTAAGGGTTTGGGGTGGGGAGCCCAGGCCTAAGCTTCTGGCCAGGCCTAGCTGTGTCCCCTCCTGCAGCCGGAGGTACTCTGCCGGGGCTCAGAGCACTCCTGTCCTTTGCCATGGCCCTGGGGTCAAGCTCCTGCTCCTCGGCCGGCCCTGCCTGGCAGCCATGGCCTGCTTCTTCTCCCCCATCCCCCACCAGGTAGCCCCATGTCTTGTATACCAGCTGAGGTCTCCTTACAGCTAGGCGACTGGTGCCACCTGCTCTGAGGTACCACCTTCCCTGCTTCAGTCGCCATTGCTCCAGAAAGCTCTTTCTACAATCCACAGTGGTCCTGCCACACCCCCGCTTCAATCCCGCCCCCCATCCCCATCAAGCAAAAGGCCAAATGCCTTCAAAGCACCTCCCAGCTCCTCTCCTGCCCGGCCCGGCCCGTTCAGCCGCGCTCACCCTGCCACGACCACAGCACCTCGCCAGCGCGGAGCCCTGACTGCACACCCTTCTGTCCCATCTCCACCTGCCGACCTCCACCAAGTTCTTTTAGTCGCAATTCAAGTGAAACATTCTCCAGGAAGTCTCTGCCAGTTCCCTAGCCCAAACCGATTGCTGCCGAGTCTATAATCCCACGACCCATTCTCATTTTGCTCTGCTCAGCACTGCGATGATCTGCAAGCGTGTCTTTCCCACTCGCTGGGTCATTAGCTCTTTGAGATACATGGTTATTGAGCCTGCAGGAAGCCCACTGCGTGGTCAGCCCTGGACAGTGCCTGGCCCACTAGGGAGGAGCCCAGAGTCCTGGGAGGTGGAATCACTGTCCTGGAGAGCAGGAGGGAAGGGTGGGCTGGGGTGCTTGTGCTAACCTTCCTCATCTTCACGAATGCAACAGGCCACAGGGCAGCCAGGAGCCATCAGGTAAAGCAAAGCCCATTTCGAGTGACTGGTGGCTGCTGTAGAGACCAAATGGTATAGTTTCTCTGGGTTCTCTGAAAGCCTAGGGGATGGCCTCCCTCAGTCAGAATAAGGACAGCAGCCATCACTGAAATGGTCAAGAACAGAAGTGACCAGACCTATCAGTTCTGCAGGCCTGACAGAGTTTCCGGCCTGGGCTAGCGGCCGAGAACGGTCTGTAGGCACCGAAAGGGCAGGGGACGTACCATTTCTGTGCTCTTTCATCCTTCAGACCTTAATTGGCTTAATTGAATTGAAAACCTCCACAGAGGGGGACTTGGACCTTCTGGCATTTGCTCCATCATGGCACAAGTTGGCCAGCACTGTGGGGTGGAGAGAGCAGAGACTGGCACTGGGTTCCTTGGCCTGCCTCACCCTCGCTGTGTGACTGTCTACAGGTTGCTGTCTCAGGGGGCTGCTGGAGTGTTGGAGGAGGTAGCCCAAGTCCAGGCCCACTGCCCAGCTGCCTTCTGGACCGTCCCCTACAGTGGGGCCCAGGTACCCTCACCTTCCCCCCCACCAGTCACTCAAATCCACCCGACCAGAAACCCAGGGGCCTCTATCCCCTGCGTCATCCCTCCCTGGCCACCTCTCATCAGGCTTTGAGGTCTCACCTAGCACCTCCAACTTCATCCCCTCTGGACTCCCCCAGG